ATGCCCAGCTAATTTTTGTATTTTTAGTAGAGATAGGGTTTCACTATGTTGGCCAGGATGGTCTCGATCTCTTGACCTCGTGATCTGCCTGTGTTGGCCTCCTAAAGTGCTGGGATTACAGGTGTGAGCCACTGCGCCCGGCCAGAATCCAATCACGTCTTACCACATTCTTGTTATCCTGGTTAAAGCCTCCATCAACTCCAGTCACAACAGATTCTTAATCAGTCTTCCTGTTTTTGACCTTGCTCTCCAATACACAAAGTTTGGCTTTGTGCCCCCACCCAAATCTCACGTTGAATTCGTAATCCCCAATGTTGGAGGTAGGTGGGGCCTGGTGGGAGGTGACTGGATCATGTGGCAGGTTTCTCCTTTTGGAGCTATTCTCATGATAAGAGTTCTCACAAGATCTGGTTGTTAAAAGCGTGTAGCACTTCCCTCTTCACTCTCTTCCTCTTGCTCCCACCATGTAAGACATGCTTGTTTCCCCTTTGCCTTACACCATGATTGTAAATTTCTTGAGGTTTCCCCAGAAGTAGAAGCTTGTACAGCCCGTAGAACCATGAGCCAGTTAAACCTCTTTTCTTCATAAATTACCCAGTCTCAGGTATGTCTTTATGGCAGTATGAAAACAAACTAATACACTCTCCTTTCATCTATTTTAACAATAAAATACAAAATGAGCCTGGAAACACAGTAAGTGATGTCAATTCTTTCTTCAAAATGCTCCTCATTCAGAGTAAAAAGTAAAGTTCACTTATAAGTCCACTAGGTCTTAAATAAGGACCCCTATTATGTCTTTAATTTTCTACTTATTTTCCCCTTTCTCATTTCATTCCAGACATACTAGTCTCTTTGATATTTCTCAAACATGTTCCCCACACACTTCTCTCCTAGTTACTCTGTGCTGACTGTTCCCTCTTCCTGAAATTATTTATTCTCTTCTCCTGATATACTGTGTGGTTTGTTTCAAATATTCTTTCCTGAATATGGCCTTCTTTCTGCTCTGTTTTCCTTAATAGCATTTACTACCAGCTAACTTACTATGTCTTCTATTTATTTAATGTCTGTTCTCGTTCCTAAGTAGAATGCAAGCTCTACTAGGCAGAACCCCAGGACTTAAAAAAGCACCTGACACATAGGAGATACTTAATAAATATGGGTGATATATTAAGCAAATATTGCCCTATACTAATACTTAAACAATTTCAATGAGAAGCCCTCCAGGGTTTTATGAGATAATAATGTCTAAGTGTCCATTCTTATCAGATCTTCAATAAATAACTTACTGAATCTGAACTGCCTACTAGATTAAAAGTTCTATGAGTCTTTGAATGCACTATGAAGTTAAGAGAAGTCTCTAACTTAGTTCAACATGACCATCATCAGCAACTTGTACTTACCAGCAGCACATAAAGGAAGATAATCTGGGTTAAAATCCCGACTATTCTGAAATAAGTTTCTTGATACTCTTTTTCTGCTAAAACATAAATCATCATTGACTGGCATTCCTTGAGAGGGCTTTAATTTTGGAGATGGGATGAAATCATATGTTGAAAACTAGAAGAACAGAATCATAAATTAGCAAATTTGTGTTAATTCTTCCTGGTAATAAATATGAGAAAATAACTTAGATCCAAGTATGAAATTCAGGTTAGAATACATTTTAATTTATTAAATATATAATGATACAGATAAACATCCATATTTAGTACGGTACACCAACAGTACATTTCATTCCAGAACAGAAATGCTATTTTTTTTTTCTTACTACTTCACCCCAACTCTTTACTGTTCCTTACCATCCTACAGTATACTTTGGCAACAAGGAAGGAGAGAATACAAATGACAAAAAGGACGATCTGACTCAGCAGCATAACCCCTCAAACTATGCTATCTTTGTTTGAGCACTAGACAATAAGTGCTAATTGAAGGTCACTGAACAAGCAAGCATTCTACTATACTGTTCTTACTGAGGCAAATCTATTATCCATATTCTGCAGCCCAAATGTCAATGTAAATGACATGGCAATCTATGTCACAGTTCCCTTAGGAGATTTTCTTACACTAGGTCTCTTAGTTAAAACCAGTAAATAATACTTTATATATGTCTAGTACTTCATGGTTTTCAAGTCCTTTCTCATAAACCCCATATGATCGTTAAGGAACAAGGTGCCAGGATACAATTTTGAAGTTACACATAATCAGTTAAAGAACTAACTAAGCATGATTCAAGTGTTCAAAATTCTTCACCAATGATAACGTCAGTTGTCCCGGATCATTTCACATTCAACATGACTATAAAACATTAAAAAAAACTGAATGAATTGACAGGAAATTATACTTCCTATCTATTTATTTGGAGCTGATAGACACAATCAAATATAGACGTGGTGATAAACCTTGTCAGTATGTTTCTTTGTAAGTTTTGCCAAGTATCAAACAGCAAAATAAAATTAAAGATATGTCTATTATGCCTCAGGTACACACGTTATTTATTACCAAATTTTGTGAAAAACCTATTACCTCCTTCAAAAATTAACCCAGAAATGATAAGAAACAAAATTAAGAATGCCCAGATGAGTCCACGTGCAGTAGCTCACACCTGTAATCCCAGCATTTTGGAAGGTGGAGGCAGGTGGATCACTTGGGTCCAGGAATTCGAGATCAGCCTTGGCAACATAGTGAAATCCCGTCTCTACAAAAAATACAAAAATTAGCCAGGCATGGTGGAATGTGCCTGTGGTCCCAACTAATCGGGAGGCCGAGGTAGGAGTATTACTTGAGCCTGAAAGGTAGAGGCTGCAGTGAGCTGATATTGCACCACTACACTCCAGCCTGAGTGACTGACTGAGATCCTGCATTAAAAAAAAAAAAAA